TCGCTACTGTTCTGGGGTAGAAACTTCTTTGATCTTAGCTACGCGATTAGCGACGAATATGGAAAAACGGCTTTTATCATTTTTAATATAATATAAGACGGATGCTGAGTCCGACCAATAACACATTTGTCGTAGAGATATTTGTATTTATTTTTGTATCCTTCTAGCTAACTGAGTAGCCAGCACCGCGGCCGATAACTCGAGGCGAGGTATAGCTACAAACTTTAAAAGAACAAATCGGGACTTAGCCATAACCAGCACACACTTCGTAGATTCCTGTTTACCGATTAAGCGAAAGTACGCAACAGCCCCATAGCCCCTTTCCGATGCGTCACTGAATACACGGAGCTCCACCTCGTGATCTGTCTCTGAAGTTCCATAAAGATACCATCTGGGCAACTTAATACTATATAGCATTTCTAAAATGGCACAACAACGCCGCCATCTGTGCTCTTCACTCTCTACCAATTCATCCCAACCCACTCATTTTCTACACTGATCTTGAAACCATAACTTTAAAGGTAATATGATAATACTAGCCCACTTAGTCAGTTTGAACCCGGCACAACCTAACAGTTGTGTCAGGCCACTGATTGTGCTGCGTGCTTCGATCTGATGATCGACAGACAACAACAAGTCGTCCACATAAAAACCGCTTTAAACGGCATCGGTTATCGAGGAAGGGTAATCATGGCCGTATAAATTGGCTGTTTTCCTCAAAGCAAAACTCGCACAAAATGGCGAAGAGACCGCTCCGAAAGGGTGAACCGTCATACAATACTCCTCAACTAGGTGAGCTGGGTTACCCTCAGACCACCATAGACATTTGAGAGCCGTCTGATCCAATTCCGGAACTTTGAACTTTAAAAACATATCCTCAATATTTGCTGTAACCCCAATAGGCTTCTGACGAAAGCGAAGCAGGACTCCGACTAGACTGGACACGATATTCTGTCCTTGGAGCAAATGCATATTCAAGGACTCCCCTAAATAAACCGCTGCACAATCAAATACAACCCTTAATTTATCCGGCTTCTTAGGATTCAGAACAGCATGATGTGGTAGATACCACTTGAAGCCAGTGTCACCAGCTTCCGTCTCTACCTTTTTTGCATAGCCTCTTTCCAAATATCTGCCGATAACTGCAGAATATTTATCTCGCATGCCTTGGTCAACTTGAAATTTTCGACCCAAGGAAACTAAACGCCTCAGTGCTGCCGGTTTATTACACACTCCTTGCAGCTTGTCGTCTCTCCACGGCAATGCTACACATAAATGTCCCTCCACTTCTCGCACAGACTTTTCCGCAATGACAACGGCGAGTGCGTCTTCAGCTGACTGAGACAAGTCACTTGAGAAACATTCGGTGAATTCTTGATTGTAAAGCTGGCAGATATCCTCCTCAATTTTCTTCAGTCCGTGTACAGCACACATGCGCGCACTACCGTTGTGACTGCGATCTACCGGTCCCCTAAGGACCCAACCTAACGGAGTACGATCTGCGTATGGGTCCCCTTTCTTTCCTCGTCTTTGTTCCAGTATCCAATGTGCTTCGGGCACATTCAAACCAATCAGCACACCAACTATCGGACAGCTCGTTATGGGAAAGTTGACTCCCTTTAGGTGGCTCCATCTAGAAAGCGTTCCAGCCCCTGGTTTTG